TGGGAATGGGTACCCGGCTACAGACAGCGAAAGATCTTGTCAGTGTGTTAGTGTTTGAGCGCTTAATCGGCTGCTTGCACTGTATGCTTCTCGGGAAGCTGAGAATGTTTCGGAGTGTTCTATGGTCTGCTGGGGTAATAATATAGTGTAAAGCGCTTAGAGCCTGCTGTTGAGCGGGGATATGCGCTATACAAATGCTATCTATTATTATTATTATTATTACTTCCTTAGTTCATTCACTGTGTGCCAATATGCTTTTACTCATTCGCTGTCTTTCACGCTCACGTTCTTCCTTTCTCACTTTCTTTTTTGTTCCAAAGCTTATTTGCTGAAGTGTTTCTTTGTTCACGCTTTCGTTCAATCTTTCATTTTGACCGTACTTTGTGTATTCCGTGATCAGAACGCTGGTGTCGTGGTCATCACTGACGCCCTTTTGTACCAGCACCGGGAACCAATCCGTACGTATTTGGTACCATCATCATCATCATCATCATCATCATCATCATCATCATCATCATCATCATCATCATCATCATCATCATATCATCATCATATCATCATCTACGTTGATTGGTCAAATAAGTCCTCTTGAACTCCTGGTCAAGGAAAAAGGATGAATAATGTAAAAGCTTAATGCAAATAAGAGACATGGCAGAAGTCAATAAAGACCGACATCTGTGGTGTCACATTTCGACTGTTGTTATTATACAAGAAACACATTTGTTCACTCTCCAGGTGGGAAAGTTTTGCGCTAAACAAATGTTGTCTATAGCAATGAACGGATCAGTAGGATAATTATAGCTTGTTCACTTTCGTCTGAGCACGGTTAAAAAACAAGAAAGATCTAAAACTGAAACGTTCTTTAATCTTCTCTTATCTTTGCATACGTGTCTTACAGTTGGATAACCAACAGATCTAAAAGCATATTCATAAAGGTTCAGCAAACTAAGGTTTCGACACGTTCAGGTAAGCCTGAAGGGGGTAAAAAATAGTAGCCGATTTACAGCATACACCTAAAAATTTTAAAAATTGACATATTATTTTCCTCGACACCACACTGAAATAGGAGAGCAAGGAGGTGTCGCTGGTCTCAGAATGAGAAATTCGTCAGCATGTTACTGTAATTTATTTATTTAAGTGATCCTGAGAATGTATCCAAAGAGCGGGGTTTTTTATGCCATTACTGAATTAATGGTCGGTGCGGTGGCGGAGTGGTTAGTGCGCTCGTCTCCGAAGCGGAAAGTCCGGGTTCGAGCCTCTGTTCGGGCATGGATTTTTTTCGCCCCCTCCTGTCCACCCAGCAATAATGGGTACCTGACTTCGAGTTGGGGAAGCAAAGGCGGCGTGGAAAGGAACTGGCCTCTCTACCACGATATGCCGAAGGCCCAGGAAGTTGTCTCACTAACAAGGCAATCCCCAATGTCCGGATCGGATGCGGGAACAACTTTACTTTTGCTGAATTAAAAATTTATTATTTTTTATTTTGGTTTGGTCGCTGGCCTGCAACAGTGCCATGCAAAGCTTCGTGGGCAAAGGAAAATTAATGAATGAGCTAAAAAAAAAATACGCCAACTGACGAAAACAAACAAGCAATAATATTGATTAAGGTCGTTGTAATGACGTGTCCTTGTCAGCCCGCTGGCCCGTCAGGCGCCTGCCTGAGCAGCTGCCTAGGCGCAGGGGCTGGGGCTGGAGCGGCCCCAGGGGCATGGTCGAGGGACGACCCCGTAGCCAAGCAAGGTTCAACGCGGCCCAAGCCTTTCAGGCCCCCCAACTCCAGCGGGAAACGGCGGTTGACATGCCAAAGCAACCGAAAAAGCTCGCAGAAGTGGAGAGAGTCCGGGTGGACTTCACCGAGTCCTGGCTCTGGTTGAACCAACCGATTAGGTACCGATTAGGCTGACCACTGAACAACATGCCCCTGCCACTTACTAACCTTAACCACCTCGTGGGCGATGCTCTAAATATAGACTGCTCCAGCCAAAGCACTAACAAAGTTGTGATGAGATACCGGTGAAGCTTACCACTGCATGTCGCGCTTTTGACATCTCTTCGCCACTGCATGTCGCGCTTTTGACATCTACTCACCACTTCATTTTAAGTTACGCTTTTGACTCCTGCTCACTACTGTGTTATATGTTGGACGCTTCCCTTTGCCATCTTTCAATGGATTGATTAGCTTATTCCATGATCATACTGCGTCTTCTACAATTTTTTATGTAACACATTTACTCATGTCATTTGTAGATTAGTCACATTCGTCGTGGACTGAGTAGTTGTTCAGGTTCTACCATTGAGGGTACAGGGTGGGACCCTAAGAAAGAAAACCGGTGTCTGTGGTATAACGGTTAGGCGTTTTGCCGTCGCCCACAGAAGACGTGAGTTCGATTCCCGTGTGGGAGAATTTTATCGAGTATCACGGTCTTTCTGCTGGTATGTTGTAAATAATCAAAATTGTACCGATGGGGGCGTAAAACACCAACATTTAAAATGAAATGTTTAAGAAAAGGAAAATTTCAATATGCCCAGAACTTGAAAGATGGTATTTCTGATATAAACCAAAATGTAAAAGTAGACTAGAATGGGGTTGGCTTGAAAGAAGATATTGGAATTCAAATAAAATGTTGG